GCCAAATAAGTGAAACACGGCGTTGACTCAACCGAAAGGCCAGTGATCAAAAGTGGGCACTACCACAAATCTCTTGCAAGCACACACATTGCCAACACAAATCCACCGGTCGGATGGTCTCTCTCTCTCTCTCTCTATTCAGAATTCGCAATTACGGCCGAGAGATTGAGATTGAAAACTTTTCTCATTCGAAACTCACTAAAAAATCGTTCATTTTAACTACATCAACGTCGACCGCTACAACTTAATAGTTGAAAATCAAGCAAATGTATGCTGTTTTTTCTTTGTTTTTCCCTCATTTGGAATGCATATCAATCTCTTCATGTGTGTATGCACAGACTTTCCATTTCGCCAAACTTTGTGGTGTCGTTTCCGTTTCACCAGAATGTGTTCGTTTTGTTTGCTGCACATTTAAACAAATCGACCAAAAACGGCGATTAAGATAATCGGTTGACAACCATGTGATTGATTAACCACTGTTTTCTGAAGAAAAATCCGCAAATTTCTCAACTTTTTCCTTCGTTTCATTTTGATGATGCCATTATTTGGATTCACATTGTACGAATTAGATGATGTCAACTGTGACGGCCTTTGTGTTTCTAATTTAACGCTAACAACTAATTCAAGACAAGGCAACGCATACACATTTTTTATTGGAACCAACAAAGCCAATGCAAATCGTTGTTGTTAGGCTTTTGGTTTTTTCTTTTCAATTTGGATACACTTGAATAACAAATTCAATCGGAATTTACAATGTTTTGCTTCGGTTTTTCTGTATATGATTGCATAACATTTCCATGCGTGATGTTTACACACATGTGGAAGTGAAATGGTGAAAACAAAGACGAAGAAGAAAATTCGTGGGGTGAAATGACGTAAAAAAAAGACACTATCGATCACTACCAACTTTACTATCCCACAATGATTCGAAAACGAAAAAGAAATGTGCCAAACTTGCCAATTGCCTAACAATGTTTTATGTGTTCATTTTTTTTATAAGTCAGCCGTTTTGTTTCTGCTTCTGCTCTCTAACTCGATTCGTATTTTTCGTCATAAGCCGTGTCGTTCGTTCGGTGCTTTTTTTGATGTAATGCCAATGGTCGGTGTGCGTTTGAACGGTTGTGTTTTGAGCGTATATGTGTGCGCGCGTGTTTGTGTGTGTATTATTGAAACTACGAGTACTTGGTAATTCAGTCACTTTCTTTCTTTCGTCAGGTGGGTATGTTTCAACATTTTAATTTCGTGTTTCTTCAGTTCAGACACCATAACATGTTGCGACGTACGATCAGACGTAGTTTTTTTCCTTCTTCTTCAAACACATTGCAATGTAATTTGAATGGAGATTATGTTGTGTGTCATAGATTTGTGTTTTGTTATTTTCGGTGCGCAGACAAGCATGAATCGTAAGCGTAATATATCCAATATGATAAAATTGATTCGAACAAAATGAAAATAACAATGCAAAATGGCATAGCATTCGCGAAATCAGGTCAGCGACAAAGGAGACAAGAAAAAAATAAACACATTCATCTATTCAAAGCAACAGGCGATTTGTCATAGTTGGAATACATGTCTTGCGGTAATTGAAATTAGCCATGAAAACGATCTAACGAAGGATAAACAAAAACACTTTTCTACGGCAGCGGCGATGGCGACAGAGGCGTCATCGAGGAAATTGTCCGAAAGAAAGTGCAAGGAAATAATTCGATCGCCGGACTTTTTTTTCACTCTTCATTTACAAACAAAACCAGATTCATGAAAGAAGCAAGCGAGCAGGCGAATAAAAATCCGTAAAGTTATAAATTGCATGTTCCAGTTCGTTAAACAGAAAGCAGTAGCGAATGTGTGCGCAAGTTTCATTTTGATCATAAACATTTTTCGTTCGCACATTTCTTCTCTCTCCTCGCCAATTGCGTTACAAAATAATTTTTGTATATTTTTTTCAGTTCGTGTTCGTTCATATGGCTCACATTACCACTTCTTCGTGCAGTCTTTCCTCCTCCTCATTCTTTTCTCTCTTTCTCTCTTTCCCCGAGCATATCGTATATGCTATATGATTTGTGTTTTTTTTCGTATAACAACTAGCGATTTGGTCAATTTGCAATTAACAGACACTATTTTTTTCTGGGCTTTGTTTCATTTTCTACACAATCACGATGTTGTTTGTCTTCGGCTCTTCATATGAGCGTGCAATTTTTTTTTCTTCTTTTCCATACATACATTTTATTTCTTTTATTTTTCGATATGACTTGAGATTACATAAATCTCTTAGAGCGATGTATGGTCGGCTAATCGCAAAAGACTATCTATAAACGGAGCGAATAGTTATGTGCCTGTGTGTGTATGTGCATTGACGAAAAACAAAATGTTATACAGAGAGTAGCGCCATGGTTTTTTTCCCTTCTGTGCTGGTGTGCTTCAGCAATCGATTTTATTTTCTGCTTTTATTTGGATTTTCTGTCAATAAATGTGAAAAGAAAGTGAAATTCGTGAAACACTTGCATTCAATGCAAATGGCTCGCGATTTAACGACTACATTTCGCCTTTGCAACCGGACAGTCTCTTGACTCGGACGGTTTTTGCTCTCTTCTCCTATTTTACTGTTTTTTGCTGCTGCTATTGGTTGGAAGTAAATTCAATTTCTTCGTTGACTTCACACCAAATTACAGTATTAGCTCGTGTAGATTTATTGCTTAAAACAAATCCAAAATACACACACCAAATGGACATTGGAAATTCGATTTCATCCCAATAATTGCAGTTCGAGAGGTATGAACACGAATTTATAACGAAATGAATCAAGAGAGAGAGAGAGAGAGAAGTAAAAACACGAAATTTTCGTTAGCGTCAAGAGACTGAAAACATAAACTAGAAATGAATTTGATTTGAAAATTGATTTTTTCAAAAGCACATTAGGGAATTTAGCTGGATATAGCTGAAAATGAGTTGGCCAATGAACGTATCGTGCACAATCAAATTGAGAATGATTGAAGAAAATTAAGCGCGGACTCACAAACACTTTTACAACAGCCAGAACATAAGAAACAATTGAAAAATGGCAAGTCGAATGTGTTTGTTGATGCTGCTGCGGCTGTGCGCAAAATTAGAATCAGAGGCTTACTTCCAACCAACTGATTCGGAATGGCAAACACACTTGTTAATGGCTACAACATGAAATATTACTTGATATTGAAATAAATTGAGCGTTATTGCTTTGAATGAGAGCAGACAAACGGAAGCCCGCCTTTTTTGGGCGAAAGATGCAAAACATTGCCTACACTTAAGATTCATCTTTCAGAGAGCCATCTCTCCGGAGTCGAAATACTTTATTACCGAAAAGAAACATGAATTGCTTGATTGAAGCATGTGCGTCGCACGTTTTAAATATAATCAGCCTATTTCTTTGATTCTCACAGTTTATTTCTAGGCTCAATCCAACTTTTGTCAATTGACTGAAGAAATTATTTCAATTAAATGTGATTTGCTATTGAATGTGTGTGTGTGACGTCGTATTCTCACAGAGAACTTTCAGAATTTAATGTGATTTTGCTTTATAAGACTCGACTCGGCCAATTTTCAGATCCAAACTACAGCGCAACGGTTTTTTTTTGTGTGAACCCAAATGCGATTTGAAACGCCGAATTTATGTTCAATCCGATGGATGAGACACAAGCATATATGCCGAGGGTTGTTGTGATGTGGGAATTAAATTGATTCGATTGAATTGTGTCTATGCGCAAAAGTGCTTGCAATAAACTAATCAAGTACCCGCATCTAGGCATGTCGCACACTCGAAATGCATACAAGGGAAGGACATGAAGAGAAAAAAGATCTCCAAAATTATTATTTGCGCAACGGCAAATCGCATTTGCTTGAGCCACACACACACACAGCAGCGTTCAGATTAAGACACCAATCGGTGACAGATCGCTTTATATGGGTGCTGGTTGTTGTGTTATTTTCTGCTCATTCTGTTCGCATGTCAATTAAAGCGTATGTTCCGTGTGTGGCAGCTCTCTTCTGAACTGCATTTGCATGATGAAACTTTACGTTTTTTTTCTTCTGTTTTTCAATTCGCTTTTATTCGTTCGCCTTTGTGTGTTTTCTCTTCTCTACCTCGTGCTCATTTTTTTTTTCGAACAAAACAATTAGGGGCGTTTTTTCCGCATTTAATGCCAGCGCTTAGATATAAAATGGTAATCACAATTGTTGCGCTATTATACCCTCATCAACATCATATGGTGCCGTTATTGGTCGCTTACTTTTTATCGTTTATACAAGTCATAAGCTGGTGAAAAATAAAAAATCATAGTGACCGATTGCACGTAAACAAAACACGAAATGACTTTTAGAGAACGAAGAAGGTTAAATTGATGACCATTGTTTTTTGCTTCGTTCGAGTGTATCTGCGTGAATATTTTTGAGGTGTTTTTTTTATTGCGTTTTGGAAATTTGCCGAATGAAATCAGCAATAGTCATATCTCTCTCTTTGTGTGTACGTGCGTTGGCATTGTACGATTCAGCTGTTCTCTGTACTGGTCGGAAAACAGTCATTCGATGCGCTATATTAATAACGGTGTTGCAAAAACGACGAAAAAAATTGATTGATTCTTCAGAGCGAGCAAGAAAAAAATGTGTCGAATCATTTGGAAAATACTTTGTATGATTAACGCAAACCCTTCATCGTTTCTGAAGTTCACGTTCTTTTTGTCACCTTTATCTAATCAAGCGTATTATCATCAATTCCGAAGATGGCAAAACAAAAAATAAGACAAAAATATCACTGATATGAAATCTCTCACCAAACACTTATCAATTTCATATATAATTATTATAGAACACAAACACACTCCATCATTCATACTCGTTTTTTTCGCTTTAAATAAAGAAGATTGTCATCGAAATCAGCAAACAACGTCGAAAAAAAAGAGTTATCTATTCAGATTGTATCACACACTGTTCTAATAGAAAGAGAGACAAAAATCGTTGAAATAGCTTACCTTTAATTGAATATCAGCAACATCGTTCGAGTCATTCCAGTCGTGGAATTTGTAATCCCAACCCATGGCTCCGGTTTGCATAATAGCTGTCGACATGTTTTTGTTAATTCGTCAAATGAAAAATGATTATTTCGTGTTGCTGCCGTAGCTCGTTAACTCTTCCGATCGCCAAACAAATTGAAAAATGCCCACAACAAAAATTTCACTTCTTCAAAATCTTTTTTATTTTCACACACTAAACAAGAAAGAAAACCAGAATTTCCGTTGTTTCTTTCGAGAATTTTGCGCGGCACGATGTTGTCATACAAAAAAAAAACGGTTGAATTGTCGCAAAAATATTTCTTTGATAATAAATAATATACAATAACTCTACAAACAGATTATATGATGAACGAAGGAGAGGGCGATAAGAAATAAATTAAACACACGAAAAAAAGTTGGTTGTTGATGAGCGAGAGGGGAGCAAAAATGATGAATTCTTGTGTATTTTATGTCGGCTGCAGCGAGCGAAAAACAAAAAACTAGCAAATTCGTCACGAATGTTGCACTATTTTTTAAACGAGATAACTGATAGCGAGCCGAGCAAAAAACAACAGTTGTAGACACGCAAGTACGAAGTGCAATTTAAACCACTGAGTATGCGACAGTTTTTGTATGTATTTATTGCTTTACAAATTTTTTTTTTCTCTCGTAAAAGCGATTACAGTTTCTTTTCAATCTGTCTTAGTGTCGGTTCAAGTTCCCGTTAAGTATTTGAAACAAAAAGAGAAGTGTATGTATCGTTTCTCTCCACGTTAAGCACAAACGAGCGAACAAATTGATTGTTTTACTTGTTGCGAGAGCATGCGCACACTTTCAATTTCGTTTGAATTCTTCGGAAGTGTTTTTTTTTCTATATGGGCATGAAACTCACTCAATACACAGTTTATAGCGCAAATGTTTGTCGATGCCAAAACGAACAGAAGATGTTTTTTTCTATCGCGAATTTTTTTTAGTAACTTCAGAAATACTTCGATTATTTCCGTATTTGACCTTTTCTCTGTTTATGCACTGCTTTTTTCGTTTTATTTTTCTTTCTCTCTCGTTGGATTGTGTTCAATAATCTTCTTTTAACTTTCTTATTACAACATTGATATTTCGCTGATTTTAAAAACAGAGTCTAACGCGCACATTCACAAAATATGATTTGCTCTTGTCGGATATTTCAATGTTTCTCGAAATTAGACGAGCAATCGAGATAATTTTTCAAGAAATGGGAAAAAAATGTTGTTTTTCCGGCGATTCCTAGTATTCGGCTCAAAAACTTGTTTATTACAAATTTGAATTGTTGTGAATTTGGTTTGTGTTATTCCTCGTTGTCGATATGAAATATTTCTGGTGTTTTATTTTCTTCTTTTTATTATTGGTGCGCTTGTGTTTTGCTGGTTTCTTTGCTTCCTTTTTATTTTCGTTATTCACACTTAACGCGTGCGCTATCGACGCCGCTCGATTGTATACTGAATTGTTTGTTAGGCCTGGAGCTCTTAGTTCACTGTAAAATGCTTCGAACACAATTTTTTAAACAATAACACGCATTCAACAGCACGACACAGAGAGCGTTTACACAACTACCATCGCAACGCCAGCCGTGTATAGCATTCACACACAGTCCGTTCGATCGTTTCGGTTACAGTGCTCATAGCAATGCGTCCATCTCGTTCGCGCAAGTTCATACGTTCGTCCATCCAGTCGGCGCGAGCGTACACACACGCTCTCTGGTGCAGTTGTGTGCGAGTGTTGTTTGTTTATTGCTTGAAAAACAACGTTGAGACCGTGCGGTCGGAGTGTTTTTGCATTGGTATGTGATGCATGCTCTGTAGACTGCACAGTGCGCAAAAGACTTTACGTGTTTTTTTGCTCGTTGCTCTGCTCTGTTTGTTTGTCGCTTGTTCTCTCTCCTGTATGAAAGATAAACACAGGCTCGGCTCAGTCCGGATTGGAAACTGAAGTTTTCTGTGATATGCCAAACAAATACCATCGCATTAACCAAACATTTGCTCCGAGAATACATACAGTCGATGTTGTGTATTTTCATGCTATTTTTGCAGCACTGCTGCCTTATTTTTGTGACTTTTTTTTCCTTTTTCGTTGTTGTCGCCGATGCTGTTGTTGTTGTTGCTGCTGCTGCTGCTCTACGAGAAATTACGCGATGCATGCATTCGCGTAATGTGTGTATATTTTTTTCCTTCTTCTTCGACTCGACTATTCATCGGCTTCGTCATCTTTATTATGTGTTTTGTTTCGATAGTGAAATGCGCGCATATTGCGTTCGCGTTTCTCACTCGACAACTTTTTTTCTTTACCTTTGTGCTTGGCTTGGCGCGCGCGCGCTTCTCTCACAGATTCAATTATGTAGCAGTTGCCAAAAGAGATCGAAGCATATTGTTTAATGTTGCGCGACAATTTGTCTTGGTCGACAATAAGTGTGTATGCTATTTTTCTACTTCTTTTTCCTTCCTTTTTCTCTCTGTCTCTCTGTCTGTATGTGTCGTTACGTGTAGTCACGCTGTTTCCCCATTCGCTGTTCAACACAATCTTGTCAATTGGCATATGCAAACGTTCAAGCAATTTTTTGATTGTATTTATGATTTTGTGATGGCATCACAGATCGAATGATGGTAGCCCTTCGGGCGAGTTGTCAATTGTGCCGGATGTGTTTTTTGGTTGCGCCACCTGAATGGTGGGGCTGCATTTGATAGATTCGGTCCCTTCGATTATGTCAAATATTTCTGCAAAAATTTTAACCTAATTATGAAAACTTGGTCAGCATTTAATTAGTTATCGTGTATGCAACATAGAAGAGTAAGTGATTGTGTAGTTTTTGTTCTTCGAAGCACTTCAAGTGGTCATAAACGCTAAATCGTTTAAGAATGAAATATACAATTTTGAATTACGATTTTTTTGCTGATTTAGTTTGAAATATTGTTTTGAAAAGAGTTTTTACTTCAAAAATAGTTGTAAATGGCTTTGTTTGACTATTTTCGCCGTTGATACTTATCAGTTTTACATCTCTCGATTGCAAAATTCATTTCCTGTTTTGTATTATTTTCTTATCTTCGCTAAATCGAAAGAGAAAATGAAAAGAAACTGCTCGGAAGACGAAAAAAACTCTTTTCTAAGAGGGTACAAAAGATTGATGAAGGGTGACTTTAAGAGTTCAAGAGTTCATAAACACACATCAAGAGATGTTTTCTTGAATAACATTCTGGCATGAGCAAAAATCTCAATTTTTCCATCAGAATGGTGACTGCAATAGCATTCAGTTAAGCTACAAGTAAAGTTATCAAGCGAACCAAGCAATATTTTTTTGAATGGCTAAACATGTAATAAAAGTGGCTGCAATCATTTGTGTTGACTGCGTTTTTTCTCTCAATAGTTTTTTTCTCTTTTTTCCAATTCCTTTTTAAACATGGGATTAAAGTTATTGGCTGCTAAACTCTAGACACAATTCAATTTTAATGCAATGATTGCACTTCGACAGTAAATTGCACAAACATCGATACTTCTCACGATACGGAATAGGATATTGTTGTGTTTTTTTTCGGATAGCACGAGCCCGCATCAGTCGCGAATCTCATTTAGGCACAGCAATAAAAATACATCGTACACGCTTCAAACCAAATGCCAAATTGAATGCAAGGCAAATATGACACTTAATAAATACATGATACGGTTTTTTGAGCAAAGCCAAACTCATAAGCATGAGGATTATCCATCGTATTTTGCAGTGCCACTCAATGGATTTTAAAATGTTTTGGATGTTCCCGATGCGTTGGAAAAAGGGATAAATCTATTCGATCTGGGCCACTTTCTCCTATATGAAACTTCCATGAGTGCCGCTGATTCAAGAATCATTATTAATTTTTACACACTAAATGGTGTTGATACCAAGTGTACACTTGAAATGCGTATCATCTAAACATGCCGTCTGTTCTGCAGAAAAAATTAAAATCAATGTTACTAAAAATACATGTTTCAACGAAAATTCAATAACAATATATGTAATTCGATATGTTCTCTCTCTCTCTCTCTTTCTCTCTCTCTCTCTCTCTCTCTCTCTCTCTCTCTCTCTCTCTCTCTCTTTCAGAACGGAAAAAAACATCACTTTCAAATTGAACAGCGGCCGTTGCGAGAGTGCACGCACGCGCAAGTGAGAAAAATGAACGAACACACAGCTTAAAGACGATTGGCAATTATTTTCATTAATAAAGCATAAAATGCAACCACACACACACACACACACACACACATCCAACTCAGAAGGGAAAAACAGCATCGAGAATACAAATAAGAAGTTGTTTTGATAAAAATTGTAATGCGCTTGTAGCATCGTCTAGCGCAATCCGTATTGCGATTATAACTTCATTTTCTAGAATGAATAAATTTTATTGAGAATTAGCACGAGCAAAGACGATAAATTATACAATTCCGCTTTTTGCGATGTTTCGCGCGTAGATATTTGGTTGATTGTTTTGCTCTTTTTTTCGTCGTTGTTGCCGTTGTTGTTCGCCGCTCATTGCAATTCGTTGATTCGTTGGTGTGTTGTTTATTTTTATAATGAGCAGCAGCAATGGACCCATAGTCAACATTGTTCGAAAAAAATAGCGCGAATCTTGCACATTTCGCGAGACGAATAACAATAGCTCTTCACTCTCCATATATACTAGATTCCGATGTTCACAATTCCCGTGAAATCAAAAGTGATTTAGTTATGGCCGTTGTATTGCTCGCTATCTCTCTTGTATTTTTCTCTCTCTCTCTCGTACCGTGTGTTTCTCCAGACCCGCTGCTGACAATTGCTACTTTGTTGTACTTCTAGTCGCTGAATTCAAGCAATTCATTCATTCGGTGATGTGACTGCGTGCTCACGATTGTGTGAATTTTTTTTTCGTATTAGCACGAAAATGAAGCTGAACGCTATAATATAACGAGCAAATAGCACGAAAATTCCACACAAATTGTCGAACGAGGCAGAGTGAGGGAGATGGCAAGAACACAAATATCACGAAACACAACGAATGTATCACTGAAACACTGTGAGCAAATAGAAAGAGAAATAGCCTGAACAAATATCGATGGTGTTTTCAATGAGATAAAGATACTAGTATATTCTACCGTTGGTGTGTGTGTGTGTGTCGTAAAATTACTCAGCAATCCAACACACGTTCAGTTGCCGCTTACAATGAAATCAAAGCGCAATGAAAAAAAAACAATAATAACATTATTTAATTTGTTTCGTGTGTTTTTTTTCTGCTGGTGCTTCCTCTGCCTCTTTTCTTCTATTAATTCGATATATATTATATTGCACGTTATGTTATTTTCACTTTTTTGCCTTGCTTTTTTCCCTCTGAATCGATTTTCTGTTTTTACTAGAGCCCTATGATGTGTATGTGTGGTAATGTCTACTTTTTTCGATCGCAAAATTGCATTATAATTTTATTACATCATAACGACTTTTTTTCTCTTCTTCGTTTGCTATGTTATTTCGATTACAATCCAAAATAACCGTAGAAATTAAGTGCATTCATTGTTTTTTTTTTCTTACACAGAGAGGTAGATATACATGTGTGTGCTCGTTTTTTCTTCTTTCATTTCGTTATCATGACATTGATTCATTCAAGTTTTGCGGGCGTAAAAATGAAATCAACGTTGATTACGAAAAGTTCTGAATATGTATACGAAAAGGAAATGTTGATATGGTATGTTGCTTTCTGCGTCATTTATACCGGCCAAATCTCAGCTGCGTAATAACATTTGACGAGGGATCAGGCCAAGCCAAGCCAAGCCATTAAGAGTCTCTCCTTCTAACATCTGAATGCTACTTTGCGAACTTGAACCACATGCTTTTTGGTTTTTTTTCCACTTGCGAAAAAAATGGTTAATGGCTATTTTTTAAAGCGTTTATGATTATCTATTTCCGAGAAGGTTCGACTATCCATGTCTTTTATCTTCGCACAAACTACTACCGTGATAATAAAAACAACCAACGACGACCAAAATCGTATTTTTTGAAGAAAATATAAACATCTTCAGAATAATTTAATGCGCGAATTTCGATGAGCATCATCGTCACAATTAGCCATAGATCTCTTTCTCTCTTTCAACGTGTTTGTGTATTGCCAATGATCAAAGCGTTTTTGAAATTGTAACGATCAACGTGAACTTTTTTTTGTTGTCAGTATTCACGCGTCATAAAATATTTATGGTCCTTTTTATATAATTCAAGACATGGCATCCGTGTTTTTAGGTTGTCTGGCAACGTTAAAATACACCGACCGACTAGATCTCGTCATATTTTTGCATATATGATAAAAAGGCGGATACATCAAAATGTCTCGAAACAAGATTGAGAGATTCCATGAAAGGAAGATGCGATCCAACCGAAAGCACTATTTTTTTGTCATCAACAATTATTAATGGTGTGTGTGTGTGTGTGTGTCTTACATTTTATGGATTGCAGCATGCAAAATGTCAAACTTGATCCAAAATAGTCATTTCGTAGCACATGTGCAGCGGATTTAGCAGGGCCAAACAATTTTCAGCCAATGTTGTTTCTCCTCATCCTCTTCTTCTTCTTTCTGTTTTTTTTTCGACAGAGATTCTGCCGCTGTGTTGTTGCTTTCGTGTGGTTGCTGACCCAAAAGATTAAAAGTAAGTTGAACAAGAAAAAAAATGCACATAAACAATAGTGGTGGTATCGTAAAACCTTGACATTATTTAAAAAAAACGATATTTGAATGAAACTGAACGTTTTATTACATACTGTTTCGCTATACGTATTGAATTTGAGGCGAACATCAATATCAACTGTGAACAGCGGCGGCCGAAACGATTAAGCGAATCGAGCAGCAACAATAACAACAACAATCGCTGCGATGAACAGCACCAGCCAGCGCAAAACAAACCTATGCTATACGACATTAAACGTGTGTTGTGCGATGTCTTCTTTAGCACGTCCGCCGTTGGTTGTTTTTTTTCATTGCTTTCTAGCCAATACGTTTTGGTTGGGCTCTGTTTGCATTTACAATTACTACAATTTAATGTGTGCAGTATCGTGTGTTTGTCGCATACACCTCATAATTCAAGCACGAAAATCACATTGTCGATTCACTTTTATCTCTTTCTCGCACACACTCAGAATGCTTGAACAAAAATCAACAAACAACAAAACGACCAACAACCGATGCGAGTATTTGGAGGTAAATGGAGTGATGGACATGCAAGCGATGCGATTCGCCATTATTGCAATCACATAAATACACACTGGCTGCCAATTTAAATCAAATAAACGTGGTTGTTGATCACCGAACAAGAGGGGAAAAAAACCAAAACCATGAATAGAACATTCAGAAGACAACGATGAAGTAGAAAAAAAAGAAGAGAAAAAAACGCGAAGGAGAA